CCACTCTATGACTTTAAAGCGAATCCAAATCCCCAAATCCACTGCCATGGAGTCTATTGCAACTCATCGCAACCACATATAGGGTTCTGAGACTGTAAATCTTTACAGGAGCAGACAGTCTCAGCTTGCCTAGGAAGCAACTGGTGGTTTTGAACTCCCATACTTGTGGTTAGCAGTTCAGTGGTTAATCCACTATACCACCAGGGTTCCTTAAGAGGGATCAGGCAGGAACAAATGTAGCACCCTCTCTAATTTCCACAGCATTTATGTCACTTGGCTGTCAAACCCATCAATGATAGAAACTGAAAGAGACTCAATGCTTCATTGAAGCATCTTTTTTGGCACTGTAGTAAAGTTACATGAGTATTTATACTACCTTTAGTGAAAGGCAGAATAATACAGCACACACACCAAGACGTTCATGTCCTAATCTGTAAATATGCTACCATGCATGGCAAAAGGGACTTTGCAGTTGTAATTCAGTGAAAGCTCTTGAAATGGGGAGAGGATCCTGAATTTCCCAGGTGGGCCCAATGCAATCACAGGGAAAGAAGAGAGTCAGAGAGCAAGATGTGATGATGGAAGAAGTGTCATCATGAGAAGAACCTGATAGCCCATTGTTGGCTTTGAAATGAAGGAAGGGGCCCCTAGCCAAAGAACATGGTAAGCTTCTAGAAGCTGAGAAAGTCAAGGAAATGGGTTTTCCCTGGAGGAATGCAACCCTAACAATATCTTGATTTTAGCACAGCAAGAACTATTTCATATTCCTGCCCTCTGAAACTGCATGATAATAAAATCACATAGTCTTATACCCTAACTTTGTGACTGCAGCTATAGGAAGCTAATACATCTTCTGCTGGGAATCCTATGCTTCCTCAGGACAGCAAATAAAAACCGCTTCCTGTTTGTGACCAATGGCAAGGACTTGTCCATTGTTCACCAGTAACCAGCTGCTATTGAGTTGATTCCTAGTCACAAGGACCCTGTGTCTGTGTCATGGAGAATCGTGCTCCGCAGACTTTCAACAGCTGATTGTTCAGAAAGAGGTCACCAGATCTTTCTTCCAAGGTGCCTCTTGCTGTTGTTGTTGTTAAGTGCTGTCGAGTTGGTTCCAACCCACAGTGACCCTGTATAGGGTTTCCAAGGAGCAGCTGGTGAGCTTGAACCTTTGACCTTGCGGTTCAAACTGACTTTACAGTCCAGTGCATTAGCCCACAGTACCACACCAGGACTCTAAGGGGACTCAAATCTCCAACTTTTTGGTTAGCAGCCAAGTGTATTAAACATTTATAGCACCCAAGGACTCCTGCCCACAGTTGTGACTAAGTGCTGCCAAGGCAGTTCTGACTCACAGCAACCCCATATAGGGTTTCTGAGGCTTTAAATCTTTATGGGAGCAGAAAGCCTCATCTTTCTCCCAAGGAGCGGCTGATGGGCTTGAACCACAACAGACCTTGTGGTTCACAGTTGGGTGCTGATCATATGGAGCCACTGCACTCCTCTGCCCACAGTAGTGGATCTACTCAACCTTACTCCTTGAAAGGTCATGGATCCACTATGCACATAATCACTTGGGACTTACCACTCAGTGTCCTGTGGGGGGTGTGAGTTATTATTAGTACACCTGGCTTGGACTAGAAGCTTCTTGAGGAAAGGGGCCTTGGTTGTCAGGCTGCTGATCTGAATGCAGGGCCATGCACATCTGTGAGCTGCTTGTCTTCCTAGGACTTCTTTGGTAATATGAAGCTAGAACTATGATTACTTCAAGAGCAAGGGGCAAGGTGACAAAGGACACTACAGTTCTTGTGTGGAAATGTCACAGAACTAACAAGGGCTGGAAAGGACTTTCTTTTGACCCTGCTCTGCAGAAACCTTCCAACTATACCCTGTGAGTTTGTGGGCCACAGAAACTCAGGGTAGATTTTATGTGGAGGGTCAACCCTTACAATGACTGTGAAACAGAAATGATCATCATGATTGTCTCCTCTTTCTAGGGTCCAGCCTCCGTGCTCCCAGGAAAGAACCTGGCATTTATCACTTAGGTCATGTGGTGAATTTATATCAGCAGGCCACTAAATCTGTCCTCTGTTCATTGTTAAAGAGTTTTTGGAGAGTGCTTTCCTCCCCTCCTCCCATAAAGCCTCAGAATCTCCTATACTGACAAGTCAGGCTGTCCTTGCTGAGATAATCTATGGCAAGAAAGCATGGCAGAAAAGAGCTAAACTAAAATTCTTAATCATTCATATTAAGAGAGTGCAAAGACAGGAGCTGTCATCAACTCTTTGGACAGATTCTCTTTGAATGGATGCCTTCCAGACCAGTTTCTGATTAAAACAGTTCCCATGTCCTAGCCATAGAATTATGCATCCAAAAAAACCAAACTCATCACCATTGAGTTGATTTTGACTCATAGTGACCCTAAAGGATAGAACAGAAATACTCTATAGGATTTCCAACATTGTAATTCTTTACAGGAACAGAGAACCTCATCTTTCTCCTATAGAGTGGCTGGTGTATTTTAACCAGAGACCTTGCAGTTGGCAGTGCAACAAAATCCACTGTGCCACCAGAGTTTAGGGTTAATCTTGATTTGAATGACAATAAAGATAGTGGTGGTGGTGGTGGTGGTGGTGGTGGTTATGTGCCATAGAGTCAGAACCAACTCATAATGACCCTGTACAGGGTGTCTGAGGCTGTACATCTTTACGGGAGCAGGAAGCCTCATCTTTGTCCTGTGGAACAGTTGGTAGTTTCAAACTGTTGACCTTAAGGTTCGCAGCCTGATTCATAACCACTACACTACCAGAGCTCCTTAATAAAGATAGTAGCTTCATTAAATATAATTTGAAAATAGCGAGAAGAGGAAATTTTGAGGCAAACACACATTCTGTTACGAATGTTGTTGTTGTTTTTAAATGCCATTGAATAGGTTCTGAGTCATGGCAACCTTGTATACGGTTTCCAAAGCGTGACTCATGAGCTTGAACTGCCGACCTTTTGATTCAAACCGACTTTGCAGTCCAGCGCATTAACCCGCAGCGCCACCCCAGGACTCTCTGTTACAAATAGGTTGCATCTAAGGAGCATCTGGAGCCATCTAAGCAGACACGGGAGAAACAAAATCTCAGGTTCAAGACAGAGGTCCTACCTTTAGAGCTCTTTACCTGAGAGTCACCAATGTTGGGAGCTGATGTTGGAAGAATAAATTAACTTTTCCAGGGTAAGAGTCCAAAACCCTGTCAACAGCAACATTTAAGAAAACAGACAGAGGTCAAAAAATTTTTTTTAAAAGAGGTTAACAAAGAGATTGAGAAAAAATTACAAAAGAGGCAGGAGAACTAGGAAGAAATGTCTGATTTTTAAAGATAAAGAGGAGAAACTTTCAAGAAGAAGAATGGTCAGTAGAGTCCAATGTGCAAGCAAAGTCAAGGAAGATGAGACCAGAACAGAAGCCCCTCAATTTGGCAGTGTGTGACGCTTTGGTAGGAAGTACGTGTTTGTAGGTATATTTGTGTGTTGTGAGGTATGGTGGCAGAAACACAATCCCAGAATTCCTGAGCATTCAGTTATGAATAAGGCACACTTGAGAAACCTTTAGCAGACCCATCTGGAGACATCAGAGACAAAATCTAAAGCCTAGGAAAGATGTCCTACCTGGAGATATATGAGGTTTAGTCAGAAAGTATTGCTACAAACCCATAGAAACCTTCATTAAAAAAAACAAAATGTGAAGCTATTGTTTCTTTGCATCTTCTTGGGCTATTCGCTTTTTTTTTTTAAGGGCTCTTCACTTCTGAAGGCAGCGTGTCCATCTCTCTAACTTTCCCTGCAGATTTCTGCACTCTTTGATTCACACTATGAAAACAGCAATTGGGGGAACAAACAAAAACATAGCATTTGGGGCTCAAATCATGTTTCAAATCAAGTTTCTTTTCAATGTTCTTTAAGTTTGGGGAACAAAAAGAAGTCTGAAGGGGCAAGATCAGGACTGTAGGTGGATGGACAAAATTCTCCTGGGGCAACCAACAAAATCCTAATGGGACAGACCCTTGTTCTCCTCAAAGAATAAGCAGGGAATTATAATGGGAAAAAATTCCTCAGGGCAACTATCCTGGCCTTTTCCTTCCCAATACAGTTTTCAATTTTCTGAAAACTTCCTAATAAGCCCCTATGATCGTCCTGTGCCCTTTGAGAAAATCTATCAAGACTGTCCCTTTGGGATCCCAAAAGAAAGTCGCCATAACCCTCTGAACTGACCTCTCTGCCTTGTATTTAACTGGACCAGCAGATCCCCTCGGAAGCTACTGTTTTGATTGAACCTTTTTGTTTAAGGCACCCTAACTCCCTGGAAATCCTATACAGGGTCACCATGAGTCAGAACCAACTCAACAGCACTTAACAACAACAACAATGAGACTAAAGCAAGTGTACCATTGAGAGAATTTGTCTGCCGTCATCTACTGATTGCAGAGACATCTTTAAACACATTTCGTTTGGAATAAACTTGTGCACGTGTGAACTTGAATCCCCTAATAGCAGTACTTTTTGACTTACTCTCATATGCCTGACAGTCACCAGTGTTGGAAGCTGATGCTGGGAGAATAGATTGAATCTTAAAAGAGAAATGTCTGAAACTGACGACATGGAGACAGTAGGTATACGGTCATCTTTTTAAGACAGAAGGAAGTGAGGGGAATAAAGAAATGGAATAATAAGAGCTTGCAAGGGAATCAGGATAAGAGGAAGTTATGCTTTGTTTGATAATGAAAGAAACTTGAGCATGAGAAGGAACCAGTGGGTAGGGAGAAATGAAGATGTCAGAGAGCAAAGAATCAGAACACTAGGCTGAGAAACCCCTGGTGCAGCCTATGGGCCCAGCAGCTTGTCACTGTGTGTTGCTGAATTGGTGTGGGGACCTCATCACCAGCCCCACAGGGCAAAGCACCCGGACCACTCTTCCCAGTGGCTCCAGCGTGGCTCTACCCCAACCACAGCCTTACCTCATGGAGTTTGTCAGCCTTCTGAGTCTGCTTCTTTCGACTTCTCTGAGCAGCAACTCGATTTTTTTCTCTCCTTCGAACCTTCCTGTCATCATCTTCAGGACTCTAGGGAAAAATGTTTGGTCAGGTGTGATGCAAAGACCCGTCTCCTTACCCGTCTCACTTTCTGTCTTCAGTCAGCATTGCCTGTTAAGCTTTACCATTTTATTTGCAGGATGCAACAGCTGTTGTAAAACACTGCTGGGATAACAATGATGTTGTTAGGTGTCATCCACTTGGTTCTGACTCATCGTGACTCCATGTGACAAAGAAGAACTGCCTCATAGGGTTTCCTAGGCTGCAAGCTTTACGGAAGCAGATTGCCAGGTCTTTCTGTTACGGAGCTATGGGTGGGTCCAAGTTAGCAGCTAAGCTCTTAACCACTGTTCCACCAGGACTCCTGGGATAGCAACACCTCATTGTTCAGGAGCATTCACTATGCTTAGCTGCTTATCCCTACAATCACCTTGAGAAATGTGTGGTGTGGCCATCATTTGAAAGATGAGGAATAAGAAACTCAGAGAGAACTTGCTCCAGGTAGCATGGCTAGTGAGTGGCTAAGTGGGAAGTGGAACTCAGGTCTGTTAGGCACCAAACCAATGTTCACAAACCTCTACAGGGCGTGTGCCTGGAAGAGTTGTGGTTTTGATGGTTCGTATCCAAGACTAGACAAGTCAGAGGGCATCTAGAACTTACTGTGTGCCAGGTTTCCCAATGCCACACAAGAAGGTACTATTAGTTCTGTCTGCAGAGTAAGATTACACTTGTAACTAATTGTAACCACATAATGACCAAAAGATAATGTGCTCATTTGAATAATACTTGGCTGCCATTTTGTTTAGATTTCAAAGTGAAGCAGAAAGCAAATTTGCAATGGATCTGGAAAGCCTTTGTCTATATAGTACATGAGATTTAGTCAAATCCTACAAGAGTTATCATGAATCAGGCAGACTGAAAAATGCATCTACCATGATAAAACAAAACATTTCATTCAGTTACAGAAGGCATGCAGCACTAGAACGGTATTTGTTTTTCAGACTCTGTGAAAAGATTTGAAGGAAAAGAAATAAAAATACTACCCATAAAGAATTTTAAAACCAAGAGGTCAATGGAGCACAAACACAGGAAAGCATTAATAACACAGTGTTATCATTTCATCTGCTCTTGTATTCCAAGTAGGCAAGACACATACTCTCTCTCCAAGTTACTGCAGGTAGAGTGATTTTTAAGTAGGGTGTAAGAATTATTATTGCTGTTAGGTGCCACCCAGTTAGTTCCAACTCACAGTAACCTTGTATAGGGTTTCTGAGGAATGGCTGATGGGTTTGAACCATCGACCCTGCAGCTAACAGCTCAGTACTTATCCTTCAGTGCCACACCAGGTGTCCCTGTGCAAGAATTGTTGTTAAGCACCATCAAGTTAGTTCCAACTCACAGCGACCTTGTATAGGGTTTCTCAGAAGTGGCCGATGCATTTGAACCACCAACCTTGTGGTTCAAAGCTACTTTGCAGTCCAGTGCTTATCCTATAGTGCCACACCAAGAGTCCCTGTGTAAGAACAGAAGAGTGTAAAAGGAGAAAAGGATAAGTAACACACAGAACAAACAGGAGTGGTCGGGGGACAATGCTCAAGGGAACAGAGTCAAAGAGTAAAAGTGAAAGCTTCTGGAGGCAAAGAAAACTTGTTAAACATAACCAGGACACCACAGCTAGGCAATGAAGAAATTAAAGTGTGAAAGCAAAGGGAGTGGTGTAGGGGACAAAACTAATTTTAGAATAGCACATAGCCTAGTTTTGTCTCTTACTGTCAATATAATCCTGGGTAAAGTGCTTAAATTCTGTTGGTTTTTCAATTTCCTCATAAGTGGGATTCATTAGTTTTCTTCAATAAATAATAACGGAATACCTACCACATGCCAATCACTGAGGACACAAGCCCTGAGCAAATGGTCTGTGATCACATGGGGCTTACAATAGCTTAGTGTTGTTGTCAAGTGCCAGCGAGTTGGTTCCAATCCATAATGACCCTGTATAGGGTTTCCAAGGAGCAGCTGGTGATTTTGAACCACCAACCTTGTAGTCCAGTGCATTATCCCACAGTGCTACACCAGGGCTCATTTCATAAGCAGAAAAGAGATTTTTGCCTTAAAGCTTCCAGCACACAGTGTGATCTTAATGAGTTATTTCCCTCGGTTGGGGTTGCTGCTGTGTTTTTTTTGTTTGTTTGTTTGTTTTAATTGTATCTTTATGGTGCTTGTTACCAAGCCATGCCTCTTCACTCTCCATCATCATAAAAGTCATAGGGCACTAGTTACTGTATGTGAAGGAGCCCACAACCTGCCCTCAGGGAGCTGACACTCTAAACTGGTCTTAAACACATATCTGGCTATACCTGACAAGCCAGCAGAAAACATTTAATCAAGACAGAAAGAGCTGAAATAGCCACCACATAACTGTAAACCATATTTCTGTAATCCTCACAAAAACCCTGAGAGGTTGATGCTATATTCATTCTACAGATGGGGAAACCGAGGCTCAGAGATGTTAAGCAATTTGCCCAAAGCTACTCAGCTCATGTGTGACAAAGCTGAGTCCCAAAACAGGACATCCGATGACATTGTATGACAGGCATCGTGCTCAGTGGGGGCCATAAAGATAGAATGACCCAGCCTCATTCTTTTGCTGGATGCAAAGCTCGTGGACGATGTTCCCTGAGTGCAGCTTCGTCTCCGTTCTCCTGAGTGCGTGGTTGAAAATATTGTCTGGGACAGAACGGAGTTTACACTGGGTGAGGGTGAGGGGTTTCCATCAGCGCGGGGGGTGGAGCCTATTCCCACGCTTAGAGGGGGGACTCCTCCCCAAACTCCTAGACTGGCTTGTCCCGCTGCAGGCAGCAGCTAAAGGGAGTGCTGGCTGGGCACAATTCACCCCTCAGGCCGAATTCCCCTCGCCACATCCTGGCTTGGAAGGGCCAAGCACTTCTACGGTGGGATGGCGCTGCCCTGGGGACAGCGCGGAGTCCACGTGCGGGGCCAGCTAGGCGTCTGTGTGTCACGCCTCCCTCTTCCAGGGGCGAAGAAGCCAGGTCACCATCCCAAGCGCCGCGGGAACAGTGAGTGCACCAGAGGCATGGACTGGCAGTGGTGCGCACGCACCAGGGCTTCAGTAGCTCCCTCCTGGCCGCACGCCTGCTGCTCTCCGGGCTCACCATCCACCCCGCACCTCAGTAGCCACCACCCTAGAACACAGCGCCCTCCTCCGAGCGCGTCCACTCGCACTCCCTCCCCGCCCCCCCCTCACTCCTCCTTGGACCCCTTGCCCACTACCTGTGGCTGAGGCTGCGGCTGGTTCTCAGGCGCCGCGATGCTTCTCTGCAAGACGCTGCCGGCCGCTGGGATCCCTTGCGACATGCCGGGCGCGCCTCCGGCCCGGGCTGCCGCGTGAGCAGCCTCGCGGAGGAGCGGCCGCCGGCCTGCCGCGCCCTGCCCCCGGCGCTGCTATGGGGACTCTCCCACCCGGGGCATCCTCGCGCCTTGGCACCTGCCGGCCGCCCGGCCCCTTCCGCCCCACCCTCACGGGCTTCCTGCTCTCCCTGCTTGAGCCAGGCGAGCAGTCCCGGGTCTCCCCACCCTCCTGAAACGTCGGCCTTCAACCCTTCCCAAACCCGAGTCGGCCCCGCCTCTTCTCCCTTCCCCCGCCTCATTTCCTCCTCTCCCGCCTTCTCTCCGCACCCCGGGGTCCCAAATCCCACCCCTGTAGCTGCTCTCCGCTGGGGCTTGCTCTTAGTGGAAGTCACGTGGTGGGCTCCGAAACCCGGGAGGGAACATGAAGCCCACCCACAAGAGGCGACGCTGGGGTGGAGAGTCTGGGAGTAGCAGCGCAGTCTTCCGAGTCCTTCAGTCTTCCGAGTCCTTCAGCTACCCCCGGGGAAACTGGGCTGAGAAACACAGTGGGTGGGTTGGGTGGGTTTTTCCCAGTTTAATCGCGGAATCTTCCTTTGCATCTGCCCATCTCCCAGACTTCCCCCATCGTCGGGGTCCTAGTCCGCGGGGACTTTCTTCGCAGCTATCAGCCATCCTGGCTTCAGAGGCGCTTCTCTCCCCACTCCCACTCCATCCGTGGTCTTCGGCTCCCCAGCTAGGGAGGTGGAGGTGCAGGGAATGAAAGGGGACAGTTGGCTTCACCACATCCCATCGCGAACACTGACAGTCGTTCTTTTCAGCAGTCCCGCCCAGCTTGCGAGAAGGAACCCGGCTGGGCGGCCCAGAGGGTGAATTCCCAGGGAGAGGGAGTAAGTTCTCCTGGAAACAAGCAGTGACATCGACCACATCGAACGTCAGTATTGACAGATTTGGGGATCTGGACCCATCATACTAAGCTTAAATGGACCAGATCCTCTTTCTTTCTCAAGATCAAAGTGACCAGTGTCCTGCCTACAGGTCAAAAAAAAGCTTAACTGTTACCATGCTCCAACCAAACTGGGAATGGGAGCCAGATATGCGGTGCTTTCTCCTCCGCCCGCCTGCTGGTTAAAAGATGCGAAGTCAAGACAATTTTGTAAATAGTCCAGAAATGGGGGAGGGGCGGCAGGGAGGCGGGGGTGGAGGTTATGGGTTTGTAGTATGAATACTGTGAGCTCCAGGAAAGAAAGATAGGCACAAGCCCAAGGAAAGGGATGGGAACCTGGTCCAGGAGGTCAGAGGTGCTTTCTGAGTGCGGTCGTTTAGTCCTTAAGGCTCAGTGGGCAGCAAGGGGTAGGGATTCAATTCAGATTCCCAATCTAGTGCACCTCATTCTCCTCCAGGATTTATGATTTACAGAAGCTCTGGAGACTTGCTTTGAGCGGAGATGTCTATAGGAGCAGAGAATGCGAGGCGGAGTTGCAAGGCAACGGGAGGGCAGAGATGGACAAAACTCTTTAAAGTACAGTGTTACATACCACACCATCAAAACGAGCATAGAGGTGTCATCTCCCTTATATTTTGCCATGACTCGTGGGTCTTCGTGATTTATTACTTTTATATCCCGCACACCTACTTACCATGTGCCACTCTATATACAACAGGTGCTCAGTCAATTTCTTGATAAATGAAGCAATTCTTCAACTGAAAGGTCACATTCTTGAAACATAAAAGGACTCTAGTAGGTTAGGAAAACCTCTAGGGCAAGTGGTCATTAATTTTGAGAAGTGCTTGAGTTCCCCAGAAGTGTTTATGAATAGAAAGGGAAAAGTAAAACACAGCAGGGACATTTAGCTTCATTCTGGTTCGTGTCTGTCTTCTGTTCTCATTTAACCATACCATGATCTAAGTCCTTGGGGCTGTACCTACAATTTTCCGTCTCCAGGGAACCGGAAGTCTTGCCCCAATACCAAGAACTCTTCATATAGGCATAGTCTCCATTGCCCTATGTTAGATCAGGATGTTTTCAATTATCTCAAAAGGAGGCAAATCCATTAACTAGTTAGAATTTAAGGAACACATCAATCCAACCTATACCAAAATGAATGAATTAGATAGACATAAAAAAAAACTTAAATTGGGGAGATAAAGCACAAATAAATCCCTAATAAAGACCTGGAGATAAGACAACAAGCAGATCATTTTCTAAGATTAACATGTGAAGGAAGGAGCCCTAGTGTGCAGTGGGTTAAATAATTGGCTGCTAACAGCTGCTTTGTGGGAGAAAGAGGACTCTATCTGCTCCCATAAAGATTTGCAGTCTTAGAAACCCTATACAGTAGTTTTACTTGGAACCAACTTCATGGCACATAACAACAACAACATAGAGTTGCTATGACCAGAATCCACTGCAGTGGGTCTGGGTTTTTCTTATGCAAAGAAATCACAACGGAGGGATCTAGACTATATAAGAAATGATTTTAGATGACAGAATAACCAGACATTTAAAATACATATTTTAGGACAAATGTTAACACACCATCACTGACAAAGAGTTAAAGAAAGAAGACTAGAAATGGGAAACACAGGGAGGAAGTGGGAATAAATGATGTTATGTATGTTGTGGGGATTGCAATCAATGAGATGAAGGAAAATGTGTATGAATTGTTGACCGGAAAACTGGTTTATTCTATACTTCACAATAAAAAGTTTTCACCCAATTTACAATTAAAAAGCTTTAACAATGACAAAATTCTAAGATTTCTATTACTATACATCTGCAGCTCATAAGAAGAAATAAGGAGGGAAAAAAGATGAAGTAAGAAACATATTAGGACACAGTCAAAGGTAAACTGTACTGAACTGCATTTCCTAACAGAGGAAATAACCCAAGGAAATAGAGTTAGGAAAAAATACATAGTAAAATAAGAAACTCTTCAAATGTTAAAGTGGCAAAATAAAAAACCACAATATCAAATGTTGGTGAGTTATGTGGTGAATTTATTACTTTTGTATTAGAAAGCAACTTTATTGTACCTTTCAAGAACCATGAAAGAAACTCCATTTTTGACTCAGTGTTCTCATCTAGAAAATCATCCAATAAAGATAGTTGAAAATAATGAGGAAAATGCTATATTCATAATAACATTTTAAAGAGTGAACGATTATAAGCATTCATTTTCGATTATAGATGAATGGCTAAATAAAATACAGTGCAGCCACTAGATAGAATATTAGGTATGCATCTTTGAAATTACAAGCATGCAGACAAATTTGCCACATGAAAGACTGATTTAAAACGAAGGAGTCCTGGTGTGGCACTGTAGGATAAGCACTGGACTGCTAACTGCAAGGTCTGTGGTTCGAACCCACCAGCCACTCCAAAGAAACCCTACACAGGGTCACTATGAGTCTGAATCAGCTCCATAGCACTTAAAAGCAACAATAAACTAAGAAAAATATCAGGATGCAAAAGTACATATATAACTCATAAAGCATGTATGTAAAACCAAATATATGTGAGAAAATACAAAAGGAGAATGCATCAATTACTAGTGGAAGGTTTACAGATAATTTTCTTTCATTTGTTTTTCTAAAAATGTTATGTTAATAGTATATTTGCAAGTAATATTACCTTCTTTGGTGCTATAACAATTGTAATACCAGAATGCCAAAACTTTTCTGACCAAGTGGGATGCTCTTGCTTTTCTGTCATATTTTATGTCCCATAAGTTAAAAAGGGAAAGACAGATGAAAAAGAAAAGCAATGGAAAAGACAAACAAGAATAAACATTTTAAAGGTCTCCTTTTCTTCTTCTGCCCTTTCTTTTTACTTGTGCTTTTTTTCCCTTGAACTAGAAGAAAATTATATGACTTGGCAACTTCCTATTAATACCACAGTGACCCTGGATTACACCTTGGGGAACAAGGAGATGAGGTGCAGGAGGTTTACAGCTAAGTGACTAAATATTTTGGTAATTGATAAGAAAACAGTTTTTTATAAAAATATGACTCGCTCAATTGCTAGAAAATCCAGACACCATTTCACCTTTGCTCTTTTCTTTTGGGGAAACCAACCTTTCAGTTGCATGCTTTCACTGCTCTTCCTCAGAGGGTGGTCCTGAGGTCTTCTGGTATGACTGGAGACTAGAAAGTCTAAGGCAGCCACCACTGTGTTTACCAGAAGTTAGCTGTTGTGTGCCAGGAAGGGTTCCTTGGCATTGGGATACAGCAATGAACAAAACAAAGATTGGCACCTTCACAGAGTTTACACTCTAGAGATGGGAGCGTGACAATAAACAAGACATAGTACATTAGCTAGTGGTACATTCTATGGAGAAATATAAAGCAGGGAGTGAGCAGTAAGGAGAGGTGTGGGGGAAGAATTGCATGTTTAAATATGGAGGTCAAACAAGGGTTCCTTGAAAGAAATAGAGGGAAAAAGCCATGGGAACATCTAGTGAAAAGGGGTCCAGTTGGCATGCATGGCAAATGCAAAGATCCCAGGGGAGGATGATTGGCCATTCCAGAAATGGAAGGTGTGAGGCTGTTAAGGCTGGAGTGAAGTGACAAGCAGGTGGACACCAAGAGAGGAGAGCAGAGAGATAATGAAGCCAACCAGATCATATCCTTTGGGCTATCTGGTTTTCACTAGGAATGAGATGGCAAAACACTGGAGGTTTTTGAATGCAGGAGTGACATGATGTTGTTTCCATTTTTATAGGACTACACTGAAGGAGCAACGAATAGGGAGCCAGATGCTCATTGCACTAACCCAGGAGAGCAGGCCTGAAGGCAGGGAAGATGTTGGGAGCCACAGAGATGGAGGCAATTATTCCCTGCAGGGAAATGAGCTTAAGACTCAGGACCCTTCGCTTGCACAGGTCCAATTTAAAGTCAACAAGGGACCGTGGTATGTTCACAGGGTTATATATTTTCATAAAATTTGCAAAAATGGAATATTTTAACCATAATCCATTAAGACCACCATCTCTTTCCAACCCAGCTCC